TAGTTGCGCCACTCAGCCACAACTCTTTCTCCCATGGACTCGGCCGATGTCAGAGATACATCCTTGGACAAATGAAGCCATCTCTCAAAAACGGTCTCCCACGCATTCAGAATACCGGCGCTGGGATACTGCAAGCGCCGTAGCAGTCCCCTGTTGCGCTTTTGGAAAGCAACGAGGCCGGTAAACCTAAAAGCCCGTGACGAGATCTCGCTGAAGATATCTGCATTTCGCAAAAGAGCCAGAGAGGGCTTCGATGCCGAGCATGCGGCAGCATCGATGATTCTGCATTCTTCGAGGAAGCTTCCAATGCAAGATGTCACTATCTGACAAACTTCAATCTCCGCCGAGCAAAGTGACACGAGGAAGAGGGTTTCCAGCTTTGTGGCTGCAGCTGTTCTTTCGGGAATGTCTTCGCAAATTTTAGCCAGTTCCTGCAGCAAAAGAAAATGAAAAAACACAAGTCAGTGGCTGGTTATTGCGAGGACCGAATCGGAGCTTACTTACCGGTATCGCTTGCAGGAGCATTAACCTCGAATCGAGGTACTCCAGGACTGATTTGAGGCCCGGAGCGGTTCCTGGCATGCCAGCTCTGTCGCATATTGACATGAGGATGAGGGACCTGTACGATTGAGTTGATGTCAGTTACGAACTTGATCACAGTACACAATAATTCTAGGATACGAGGTGAAACATACGTCAGCCGCCAGAAGCCCAGCTTAAATGCCGGCTGTTCTAGCCTCTTCGAAGCCCTCAATGATTGAAGGACCACATCGTTGGCATACAAGCGCTTGGCGACCCTGGTTCCGAGCCGCCTAACCGACTCGTCTGGCGCAACAACGCATGAGATCAGGGCTTCCAAATTTTCCTGGTAAAATCGATCGCGCTCGTTAAGATCATAAGGAGGCCCTTCAAACAATGTCATGGGGGACGCGTCCAAGAAGTTTAGAATATTGCAGATCATGTCAACCATGGAGGCGCTCTCAATCTGCTGTCGCTGCGTGATTTGCTCATCAACATAGCCCTGGATAAGGAGCATGGACATGGCCTATTTTCAGAAGTTAACAAACAGCGACGAAAGTGTAGGCCTGAACCAAACTTGAATGGAGTCTTACCTGTAGCTGCCCCTGAACGAAAGCCGAAGCCTTTGTGAACAATGGCTGGTACTTGCTGCTGTTCTCCAACCTGGCGAAGTGCGAGCAAGCCTGAATCACGGCAATTTTGAAGATATGCGGCGCTGATGGCGTAAGACACTGATCCACAAGAGAGTCCACGCAGCTATCAAAGCTCAGGTGCGTGAGGCTCACGAACGCTGCCGTCATGATGTCCTGTTCAAAGAATATGCCATCCGGGCCAAGGCCATAGCGTCGAAATACGGAATCGCGCACATCATCCTGGACGTCCATGGCATAACTCACGAGGGCCAAATCGCTGTCGGGATCGAAGTGTCGCGCGGCACGTAGCAGGGATACGAGACAGTAGACGGACACTTCGTTTCGGTTTCTAAGGGCCCTTTTGCGATCTTCGAGGAACGTAACTTTCTTGTTCATGCTTGTGCTCTTGGCTTCGCGCAAGTTACTGGCAACGTCAAACACATCCGGCAGGAGAAGTAGCAACGTCGTCTGTAGAGGATGTAGAAGGCCCCTTCTTCGGGTATTGTCGTTGCTGCCGTTTTGGGCATAGTCAAAGAGCGTATCGGGCGCATTGTCGCGGCGTCTGCGGCCCATGTGCAGCTCCACAAACTCATTGGGATATCGCTCCAACCACCGGGTTATAAGCAAAGGAGTGACGACGGCGAGGGTATTCTGGAAACTTTTTCGAAACTGTAACCAGCTGGAGTTAAATTCCGCGATAACGGCGCTGAGCTTCTGGAGGTCGACCCAAAAACATGCCGTCAGCCTCAAAACAATGAGAGCCGACCTTTCTTCCTCGGCAGCGGCGACATTGGGTATCGGCGTGCCCGGGCCAGGTACCGACTGACGGGCAACATATATGGTGTTCCTAAAGTACTCAAAAGAGGCTGACCAGCTGGAAGCTGTGACAAACTCGGCAATGGTCTTGACGTGAGCTTCAATGGCCGTGGCGTGAAGCTGTAGCAAGTGGCTGCTTTCTAGGGGTTCGTTGGAGGGCGTGGAGACAGGGGTACGCATAACCTCGTCAGGGAGACGGACGGCAGCCGGTTTGGCGGTGGTCTCGTCAAGGAGCGTCTTGGCGGGTAATGTATAGCCATCGGGATAGGGATCGAACAGTAGCTTGATGACCTCAAAGGTGCGGCGGACCAGGACGTCATCTAGAGGCTTAGGGGGAGGCAAGGCAGCACGCTGCGCAGAAGAGAGCGCATAGCTATCTCCGAGGCCATTTTCTGTGTGGGAGGGGCCCCAATGGCTGGCGCAACAGTCGGCGATCAATTCGAGAGCATAGATTTCGGACAAAAGGACAAGAGGCGGATGGTTAAAGATGGACCGGTATGGGCGAGCAAGGTCCTCGAGAAGACCAAGAAGGGCGTCGAGGACGAGGTTGACGGAGCCGGCGCTGACCCTGATGAGGGTGGAGCGGGTGATGGAGATGATGTCGTCGTGGTAGAGATCCTGGGCGGGAGCACCGGTGCGATGAGGCAGCTACATAACGGCACGGCAGCGGGGGGTTTCGGTCAGCAATTGTTGGGTTTAGTCATGGTATGTCTGTGATGGCAAGGGAAACGTACCCTGGTTGCGAGCCTCTCGACCAGGCCACCGACCAGGCCCGTGTCGCCGTTCATTGTGCTGTGAAGAGGGCGAGAGCGCAAGCAAAGAGAGGGGCGGACCGGTGTCTTCTCATGATGGGGTTCTGCGGTACCGGTCTTGTTGTCGACTGCCAGGACTGCCCAAGCTGCGCAGTACGGGCTTCTTGGCACAACGGGAAGCTGTTGCTGTTCGGTAGTAGAAGTACCCCAATGTGAGTGGAGGTATCTACTACTACCTATCCCCTGTCGCAACCAGCCTCACTCTCGGGCGGAAAGGGGCGGTCGGAACGGAAAGAGAGTGTGTATGTTATCGGCGTGGCCCTGGAGTGGGTGATTTGACGTCGTCGTCGTCGGCGGGTGGTAGTGTCGGCGGCGGCGACGGGTGCGTGATAAGACGCGGCGGCCGTGGGTTGGTTCGTGGTGATGGGTGTGTCGTGGTAAGGTGGTGGTGGCCGTTCTTTGGCTACTACTTTTCCGCTACGTACTGGCCCAACGCAACTGGAACCTTACGGGCAGCGGCAACGGGAACAACGTGGGACAAGCGAAGCGAGAGAGACGAGACGAGACGAGCGAGGGCGGTGGAGGTGGAGGCACTGAATGGACTCCTGGCACCCTCATCCACTTACCTGTCGGGCTCCTCTGATTGGCCAGATGGGAAGCTGCCTGATGCGGATACTCGAGACTTTTACTCCAACTCGAATACACACCGTGTGGTGATCGACTTTGGGCTTTCCTTTCTTCCTGCCCGCCCTTCAGAGAGCATGGACGGCAGCCGTGCAATTGAGTGCTGTGTGTGTGTGTGCGTGAGTCTCTACTTGTAACTGGATACATATGCAAAGTGGGCCGACCAAAATCGGGGGTGGGGTCCCCTGGGGCTTTCCCTCCTCCTCTACAGACTATTATGGAGCCTTCCCTTCGGCATGGGGTCCCCAAACCCCTGAACAAGTGGGACACACACCGAGATCCACGTCAGTTTTCGTTCCTTATGTTCGTCCATTCTTTACATCTTTTCTGGTCTAGATAGGTCGTGGACAACTGAAGATGTGGACTTGCATGTTGCAACTTGCATCAGTACGGTAGAGACGTTTTCCTGCTGCACTGCACGAAATCATCAGCCGAACGGCAATCCGCATGGACATGGGACCATGGATGAGCTACATTACGGAAGACTAGTCTATCCCGCCGTGCCAGGAACATTATCCATTCATCATCAAAGAAAGATAGCGAGGGAAAAGAAAAAGGAGATGACAGACAGACAGACATCACCGAGGCAAACAAAGTGATGTTGATCTAGTGACCCCATCAGTCAGTCACATCTCTTGAATTCCGAGTCCGAGCTAAACAAAGACAAGATGCTTCCCTTCTCCCGGGCCGTCCGACTTTCTTTGACTCCAAGACTCGGTTCCTGCATCTGGTTCCTGAATCTACAACAGTGCCCGCATACCGCTGACACATATATTGAGTGCACACAACCCACAATACACTACACCTCTCCAAACCCCAATGCTTATCCAGCAGCTAGAGGTAGCTTTACACTAGCGTACACTCCATACATATACCGTGTAATTACAATCATTGCCCCTGCCTCTTTTGGCTATTCTTGGGCATCCATAAGGCTCACCTTCACCTCCTTCTCCCATCATCGTAACATATCATCTCTAATCACTGGAGCCTGCCAAGACTCACTCCTCAGACTGAACCATGGGCACAAGACAAAAACAATATAATCATTGCATAGCACAGAGCCATTGTCAATCTGCTTAACACTCTCCCACGTCATACTATGTATTCAACCCTTAGTTACTTACCCTCCTCCCCTCCTGACCCCAAATTGCCAAGTAAAATAGTTTAGAAGCCAAGTCTCGGTACTTTGTGAACACTCTCGTGTAAATCCCTCCACTTCTTTCACGACGCACACATCGATATATAGTGTACATATACCTATCCGGACCTATATAAAGCCAAGGTATGTACACGTGTAGTCTGGACTCGTAACATGCGATGGGACCGCAGGGGCACAAAAGGCATGACGGCCGCTAAGATCCCGACATATCCCACCTCTTCATTTCCTATAACAAACGAAAGGACAAAAAAAAAAAAAAAAAAAAAAAAAAGACAAAACCACCTCTACTAAGCTTACCAGGTATGTACTCTCACAGGCTCACATGCAATGGGTAGTAGGTAAACGAACCCGGAAGGCTTGTGCGTGTGTCCCGGACGAACACACGGTGATATACATATATAAACACCGAAACATCTCATAGGAATTGGTCATCGCTATGGGCCCTTCAACCCTTGTTCTTATATACTACCAGAAATGATGTACATGTTTTGAAGTGCATATGACCAACTCTTGATTTGGACATTGAGACCAATAACCAGCTCGAGATGAAAACCCATTTATACAAACAAGATAAGAAAAATAACATCGAAAACACTATCCTTAACCAACTCCGCTTTGGCATTTTCCTACTATACTACTCTTTCCTCCGCTAGTCCCCAGCACTCTTTAGGGAAAGGGTTTTACCTATACCCCCGGTTGTCACCGCCGCCACGATATCCACCGCCGCGGTAACCTCCGCGGTTGTCATATCCGCGATCCTGACGCGGTGGTCCCCTGTACTGGTTACCCTGGCCTTGGTAGCCGCCGCGGCCCCCGCCCTGGCCGTACTGCTGCCCCTGTGCCTGATACGCTTGCGGCGGAGGAGGCGGGAGTGCATGTCTGTTGTCTTGATATCCTCCGCGACTGTTGCCGAAACCGCCGTAACCAGCGCCACCGGGAGCACCGCCGTACGCGGCACCGGGCGGAGGCGGAGGAGGTCCAACCCCAAATCCAGCAAGTCCAGGGGGCGGAGGAGGCTGCCAGCCGGGAGGAGGGCCATACGAGTCTCGTGCTTGACCACCGTATCCACCGCCGCCGCCGCCGCCGTTGTTGCCACCGTTGTAATAACCACCACCATTAGCTTGGTAGCCGCCGCCGTTTCCTCCATATCCTCCTCCCCTACCTCCACCGCGTCCTCCACCACCTTGGTAACCACCACGACCGCGTCCTCCCTGTTGACCGCCGCCAGGTCCGTAATTGATGGGCTCGTTCCTTCCACTGTAGTTCTTGTTGCTCAGCGGTACGCCGCCGTAGCTTCTTCCCGAGCGCGATGCCTTGCCCTTCAGGATGTCGATATCGCTTCGAGTCAAAGCGGGTGTTGGCATCTGTACTCCCCTTAGGAGCATCGACTTGTGCGTATGAGAGCAATCAGGGAAGAAGTAGTGAACCATGAGTGAACGATCGTAATCCACGTCGGGCATTGAGTTTCTGTTCAACGGGTAGACCAGCGAGCCGTGAGGCACGTAGCCATCAATCTTCTCGACTGAGCCTGAGAGGCCAGCACTCTTTGTGGGATCCAGCTCGAACTTGGTCGTACCCTGCTTCTTGGAATAGAACTGGCTCGTGATGTGATCGTACAGTGTTGGATGAGAATCAGATAGAAGTAGATAATCCTTGCCCGGTGCGTTCCGGAGGTGATCTTCTGGGCTCAAGAGATGACTTTTGGTCTCCATGGCAGCCAATAGACGGGGCATGTCGATGAACGGAAGGAGGGCGACACCCTGCCAAGCCATCTTCTTGCCGTTGAGATCAATCTCGAAGTCATCGGGGTAGAAATGGCGGATCTCACTGGTCTCCTCTAACATCAAGGAGTGAAACACCTCAGGGATGGCATGACGAGACGCGGCCGGAAGGACGCTCATCAGCTGCTCAAATGGCCGCGAAATTCTGCCCTTCTCAAACTTGACCTCCATCTTGCCAAGATCAACAAAGTCCGCAGCGAACGGCGCGTAGTGGTAGGGGTAGAACCACTCCCATGAGGGGCAGCCCTGAAAATAGTACTCCAGAACCCACGCAAGACCTTCGGCATACGCACGACCAACCTTGTGACGGAAATCAATGTCTTTACGGTCAACCTTGAACTTTTGCTCATAGTACCGGTCCGCATAGCCCTCTTCCCACAGCCTGACCGAATCGGTAGGCTCAGCATCACTCTCGCTGATCTCGGTCACCTCGGAACTGCTGGCCTCGGGACCAGCGACAGCATCTTCGATAAGCTCAGCCTTCCTTTTACCCAGGGCTGTTGGGGGAGCAGCTTGCTCTTCGGTGGCCGGGGCGGCCGCAGCAGTTTCAGCAGGAGTCTCAGTGGACTCAGCACCGTTCTCCGGAGTGCTCGTTCCTTGCGCCATCATGCTCTTGATCTGATCCTTGAGCACGCTAGCGGCACTCTTGTTGGCAACATTGGCCTGGTCAACCACCTTGCGGTTCACCACCATGTCATGAGTGATTGATGGTTGCGGAGCCTTGCCCGGAAATTCGTTAATCTTGTGAAAGGAAAATCCAGCTGGCGGACCACTGTTCTCAGCCGCCTGGCGTATTTGCCTACTGCCTTGGGCTCTCCTTTGTCGAGCCTCATCGGCAAGCTTACGCCTCTTGAAACCGGCCTCTCGTCGGTCTTCGGTTTCCTTTCTCCTCCTGAAAATGGCATCCTCCTGCTTGGCCAAGCCGGCCATGATGTACTGGACACGTTCAAGGTCCGCATGGCCATCTTTGGTCAAATATCCGCCCATTACGGGCAAGTTGTCTTTCCAGATCGCCGTTAGGGTATCAATTCCGTTCTCCCTGATCTCCAATGCAGGCAAGTGAGGCAAGAAATCGTTTCCGACAAAGAAGCACATGAAAACCCAATCGTCGATGGCCCTTTCCAAGTTGAACTGGAAGGGTAGGCCAGGAACGTCAAGTTCAATAGCAAGGTACTCACGGAGAATGGAAACGTGAAGCCAAATAAAGGGCTTGAGAGGCACGACTGCGTCCTTCTCGTCGAACTCGCCATTCTTCTCCTTTGCCTCACCCTTGCAGTTCATGGCATCATGTCCCTTTTGACCGCAGATCTTGCACAGTCTCGGCCTGCTATCTTGGGCAAAGACGTCTTCACGCAGAACACGGAAATGGGGCTCGTGCGTGGCCAAGCCAAGCATGATAAGATCGGCGTCGAGTCCATAGATTACATGCCGAGTATTGGGGTCATGGTTGGGGGAACCACGCTGGGAGCGGACGAATTCCATAATCTTGTGTTCACCCTCACCCGGAACGGTGGCGTCAGAGATAATGACCTTGATGTTGGCCCAGGCAGGATCGGTATTAAGCTTGTAAGAACACCAATACCGGAGACTGGCAGCCAGGATGTCCATGAAGGGTGTACCGGGAGTGATGGAGTTGGAATCGAAAGCCTTCTTGACGACGATCTCTACGGGTTCTTCCTCTTGGGGCTTGCCGTTCTGTTTCTTGAGCAGCTCGACGAACTTTTGCTTGTCTTCCTCCTTTTCCATGGCTTCCCGGGCAGCACGGAATCGCCTGGACCGTTGCTGGTTCATTTTGGCTCTGGGGGCAACGCCGTCTGTGGTGAAATGATGTTAGTCCGTTTCTCAAATCATAGTAGGGCGACAGAGATGGGGCGAAATAGAGATACGCACCAACAGCAATCATGAGAAGCTTCCGCGGGCGAACCATGTTGACCACGCGATCGGTGTACTTGAAAACCTCGACCATCATCTCTTCCTCATCCTTGGGCGCGGGGCGGTCCTCGGGGTGAGAGCACGGATGGACGATACCGTTCATGTCGAGATACAGGTTGTCAAACTCCTCGCCATTGGGGTTTGGCTTGGTCGCGTCAACAGGAATGACGGTGCCATCGGGCATAGTAATCGGCTGATCCTCGATGACGGGCGAGATGATCTTGGGATACTTGGTGGACAGCCACCTGAAAGCCGCCGGAATACCCATCTTGCAAAGGCGATCGAGTGGTCACACGAAGAGCACTTGTAGGGACGGTATTTTAAGTGTGGTTGGCTATAAAATGTAGTAGGTAGTTGTCGCGAGAAAGATCGGAGGTAGTCGCTGAACGAGATGGTGGTTCGGAAAGTGAACGTAGTGGGTTCTTCAATTCGCACCGACGGAAAGCGGATAAAGGAATGTTGATGGAAGAAGACTGAGTGAGGTATAAGGTCGGTCGAAGGGATCGGTTGGTATGGGCAACAAAAGATGCTGATGCACAACACGGGCAAGGTGACCGCAGATAGAGCCACCAAGGTTCACCTCAAACGAAGTGCACTGTGGAAACGGTGCAGCAAGATTGAGGACACGCCTTGTCGAAAGCCCAATCCAATGAATCCGGGCTGAAATTGACACAGAAAAGCGGTCCTTGCAGCAATGCCCGTTGGATAAGAGCGATTGCAGAAGTGGTGATGGAGTGGCAGTGGGATGAACTGGGGAAAGAAGGAGACCGGAACAGAACGCCGAGCTCTGACATGCGAAAGAATTCAAGGGTTCAACGAGTGCCAAGACCATGCGGCAAGGAACGATAAGCACTGATAAGACCGATAACACCGCCACAGCGGACTGTTATCGGATTATCGAAACATCACATGACGCTCTACGGTCAGCAGTTACGCGGGCTAACAGAGCACGGTATGATTGAGGCGCAGGAACCGTAGAGGTACACACCCGACATTTACTTGTCCAAAAGACCATAGGTAGCATTACAACTGAACGAATATATACTCTCCATGAGTCCCGAAACGACCCTAACTAAGGTTTGAAATAATGAATACTACCTAGAGGTAGGTATCTAAGGGGGTACTTACCATGCCTTGATGATCGCCAATTGTTGCGCGGGCTGGACTTTTCGTATGAAAGGACCACCTGTCCCTTAGTTTCATTCCGTTGGCCTCCGTTCGTTGGTTGTACAGTAATGTGCCCTGTTAATGCAAGGCCCCCCTTTTGCAAACACATACAAACTGACCCATTAGATGCAAACGATTTCTGGGCCCGGATTCCCAGTTTTGTATGTGAGTGAGGTCCCCCTTAATGCAAAAGCCCCCTTAATGCAAAAGATTTGAGCCGTCCTCCATACTGCCGGAATTAGTTGCATTAACAGGGCACATTACTGTATTGCGACATGGAAGCTAAGTACTTCCTGGCTTCGTTTGTGTGCAGTGAGTGGCTGTAACAAGGCGGGCCCTTCCATCTTCCAATCGTTTTGTCCGGGTACATCCAACGGAACCTCAGAGTGCTATAAGCTACAGGTGCAAGTACCACTACGCTCGCTATAGCGGGACCATACAGGTACCTACCCCTGACTGACACCCCGACGACGCAAGAAGGAGGTGGTGATCCGACCTCTTAACCTTCTAGCATGCGCGCACCCCGCCGTACGCCATGATCCTCCAGTCCCTCCCTCCATGGCATCCAAACTAGTCCACTACCTCTATCCTCGAACATGTTCTCGACCATTACGGCGGCGCCGGCCAAGCAGTCGGTGAGCGAAACCATTGCTGTCCTCAGCGGTCGTCTCAACACCGCGACCCTCCTCGAAGACCGCCGCGCCGCCATCCTCGGTCTGCGCAGCTTCTCCAAGCAGTACCCGGCCTCAGTAGCCTCTGGCGCTCTACGAAGTCTCATTGGGAGTCTGAGCAGGGATGGCGAGGATGTCGACACGGTCAAGGTCGTCCTCGAGACACTGCTGATGCTCTTCAGCCCCAACGAAGACAGCCCCGAAGCTTCAGAGGAGATTGCGCTCTGGCTCGCCGACGAGTTCACCCAGCGCCAGGAGAACATCACGCTGCTGCTCGACCTGCTCGACACGACCGACTTTTACTCGCGCCTTTACTCGCTCCAGCTACTCTCCCACATACACTTTGCCCGGACAGAGAGAACCGAAGAATGCGTCCTCGTTGCGCCCCTGGGCATCCCTAGGCTGGTTGCCGTGCTCGACGACAGGCGAGAAGCCGTCCGGGATGCGGCCATCAGTCTGCTGATCGACCTCACCGCCGAATCCGTGGATATCCAGAAGCTGGTGGCCTTCGAGAAGGGTTTCGAGCGCATATTCGAGATTATCACCAATGAAGGAGGTCTCGTCGAGGGCGCAAGGGTGGTGGAGGATTGCTTGATCTTGTTGGCGAACCTGCTTCGTCTCAACGCGTCCAATCAGTCCAATGTCAGGGAAATGGGATTCATCGCACGGCTTGCGCACCTATTAAGAAGTGCCTACAAGGGCAGCACAGACGGGGAGGAAGTTGCGCAGTGGGCTGAGGAACAACGCAACAGGAACATCTATGCTTTGCTTGCGCTGATACGTCTATTTTTGGTCCCTGGCGCGGCCGGAACCCCTGCCAACCAGATCGCATTTTTGAACGATCGTGTGCTGGAAAATACTCTCCAGCTGGGATTCACTTATGGCGTTGACCTTCCCATAAGGGCGGAAGCGCTCGCGGCTTGTGCAGACATGATACGTGGTAATGCAAGGCTACAGGAGAGGTTCGCCGGACAGGAGGTTCCCTCTCCGCTTGCCAACCCAGCAATGAACGGCCAAGGTCCTCACTCCAACGGGGTGCCAAAGGTTTACGTTATTGACGGTCTACTTGACCTTATCTTGGCCGTCAACTCGCTAATGGAGTTTGACTTGCGCATGGCAGCTTGCAACTGTCTCAAGGCCTACTTCAACAACCATGAAGAGATTCGCAAGCATTTCCTCACTAGAGCTATCCAAGGCCACAAGATGCAGGCCGATGAGCTTACCAACATCTTCACAACGTTGCTTCAGCCTGTACCAGAACAGGTCACGGCAGATCCGTATAGGTACTGGTTCGCCGCTGTGCTCATGCTTCATCTGGTCCATGAAAATCCCACAACTAAGCACCTGGCCATGGAGGTCACCGAGGGAGATGAGGCCAGTGGCGAAGAAGTGGTTACAAGTATCCAAACCGTTGCGTCGCATCTTCTCAGAAGCGTGGCTAGGAACGATGACCCTCGCGTCATCATTGGTTATCTAATGCTTCTCCTATGCTGGCTATTCGAGGACCTGGACGCGGTTAACGATTTCCTAGGGGAGTTCACCAACCTCCAGGGGCTCATCCAAGCGGCGGTGGAGAACCCCAACGGCGACATCATCGTGCAGGGCCTCAGCGCCATGCTAATTGGTGTCGTGTATGAGTTTTCAACCAAAGACTCTCCCGTCCCACGCGCCAAGGTGCGCGAGATGGTCATGTCTCGCATGGGCCGCGATCGCTACGTGGACAAGCTAACCAGACTACGCTCCTACCCCTTGATGAGGGACTATGAGATTCTACCCCAAAAACTCGACCTCAGTCTCGACCAGAAGCTCCCCGACGTGTACCTAGACGACACCTTTGTCGAATTCTTCAAGGACAACTACAGCCGTATCATTCGGGCCATCGACCGCGACCCCGGGCTCGAGATCTCCGTCATCACCAACGGTGTACAAAAGGGCATCTCACGCGAGCTCGTCGACTCCCTGCGCGCCCAGCTTGAGGAGAAGGACCGAGCACTCGAGGACTTCGCCGCTGAGAAAGCCAGTCTGACCTCGCAGCTGGGGCAGGAACAAGCAGACCACCGACGCACCAAGGAACAATCCGCGTCCGACGTGCACCGCGCCAACGAAGCCGTCGAGCACATGCGCGTGCAGCTGGGCGCCAAAGACCACGCGATCCAGAACATCGAAGCGCTCGTCGCGACACTCAAGCAGAACCTGGCCAAAGAGCAAGCCGAGCATCAGCGCTCGCGAGCAGAAGCAGCCAGACTCAAGACCGTCAACGACGGTCTCCAGCGTGCTCACGAGCAAGAGTTGAACAAACTCGCCAAGGAGTCCCGCACCAAGGAATCCCAACTCCAACATCAAATCGAAACCGCCCGCCGCGAAGCCAAGAATAAGGAAGATGAGCTGACCAAGCAGGTTGAAACTGTCCGGAGAGAGCAAGCCGCCCAGCTTGAGTCTCTGCAGCGCGAGCACAGCCAGCAAATCGAAACCGCCCGCAAAACAGCCGAGCAAGAAACTGAGCGTGCGGCGCGCCGGTTCGAGGCCGACAAAGCCGATTTGAAGGCAACGATAAGTCGGATGGAGGTTGATTTGATGAAAGCGAACAAGGCCCGGACCGACGGCGAGAACAAGCTCAAGGACTTGGAGACCCGTCTGACCAAGACCGATGAAGCTTTGAGCGCCGCGGAGAGGAAGCTCGCTGAGGCGGAGAAGACGGTTAAGAGCACTGGTGAAAGGGTAGAGGAGCTTGAACAGAGGCTGAAGGGGGTAATAGAGGAGAGGGAGGAGGTGGAACGACTATTGAAGGAGAAGGAGGATGCGGTTGCGGAGGTGGAGAAGACCTTGAAAGATAAGGAGGGGGAGATGGCGAGCATGAGGGAGAGGTTGGAGGGGATGGAGAAAGAAAAAGAGGAGGCGATTCAGAAGGCAGTGGAGGAAATTAGGAAGGAAGTTGAAACTACCAAGAACAACGACAAGGCTGAGGCTGATGCAACTACCGGTGCCGAAAAAGCGGCTGCTATCGAGGCCGAAGCGGCGGCGAAGGCGGCAGCAGCAGCCAGCGAAATCGAAACCCGTCTCCAGAAAGAAAAGGAAGACGAGTTGGCCCAGATGCGGAAGCAACTCGAGAAAGAGAGGGAAGAAGCCGTTGCAAAGGCCGTAGCCGAGGCGGTGGCCAAGGCAGTCGAGGAGGCCAAGAAGGAGGCCACCAACCAAGTGAAGGAGGTAAAAGAGAAGCTGGATGAAGAAATCAAGAACGCACAGAGCGAGAGGGACGATTTGCTGTTGCTGTTTGATGATTTGGAGGAAAAGAGGCAGAAATATAAGGTAAGCAGAACCCTTTCAACTAAAGTGCCCTTGGGATTTCAAGAAGATGACGTAGACTGACATTCATTGTTTGCTGGTGTATAGGAACAACTCAAGAAGCTTGGTGGTGAGGTTTCAGAAGACGAAGAGGAGGAGGAGGATGAGGATGGTGCTGAAGATGAAGATTGAAGATGGGGAGGGGGTTAATGAATAGTACGAACAGGCTAGAAAAAAGCTGGTTCCCGGTATATATAATGCTTGCTATCAAGGTCATAGACAAGCTGGGCTTGCTTAGGGGCACCAGCATCATGACACATGGACTTATAAAATGCACGGCAATTATTTGTAATACGTGTCCCATTCGTCGTCGTAGGTTCGATAGCAAGTCCTGTCCCAGATAAACCTCCCCTTACCAATTCCCTGCAAAAACGCCAAACCAAATCCTATTCATCAAGACGTCATCAAGAAAGGAAAATAAGCCACTGCAAAGTATAAAGAGAATGCAGTGTCTCCTAAGGCAGCCCATGACCGCCTAAAGCCGTACTGCTCAAAGCTCTTGCACTCGACTTTGATACTCGAGTAGGCGAGCAAGCGAGTTTAGAAATCATCACCACCACCAAAGTCCATATCACCATCCTGACCATCATCTTTTCAAGGCTGTTAGTATTCGAGCCATCCAAGCACAAAGGGTCGGGATCCAACTTACTATATCCTTCCTGATAAATCTCCTGATCGTGGTCATTGACCGCATCAGCAATCAACGCACCACCAAGGACACCCGCGCCCAACCCCAGCGCCGCACCGCCCATCATGCCCATGCCACCGCCGCCACCGCTCCTCCCGGAAGCGCCGTAAGCCTGTTGCTGCTGGGGATAACCGCCTCCACCATAATATCCTTGCGGAGGAGCGTATCCTCCATAACCACCTTGTTGAGGGTATCCTCCGTAGCCAACGGGTGGCTGCTGGCCGTACATCGGTTGCTGAGGCTGTCCATAAGGCGCCGGTGATCCTCCATACGGAGCGGGCGAATAACTCTGGGCTGGGTAACCACCCCCACTGCCGTAACCGTGGGACGAAGACCCGGAGTGTTTGCCCTTACCCGCAGCACCAAAAATCTTGCCGAGGAAGGACCCCTTAGATCCGCCACGATCGTTGGTCTCAGGACGAGGCGGTAGTTGCGAGGGGAATGGCGACTGTTGACCGGAAGGGGTGTGAGCGCGCTGGTTAGCGGCGGCGGCGGCGCGAGCGTCCTCTTCGGCTTGGAGCTGGCGAGCTAGACGTGCGTCTTCGTCTTCGTATGAGGAAGGACCGCCGCCGTTACCGCCGGCGCGGTTGGCGGGGTTGTCGTAGGGGTTGTTGGACTTGGTGTCGCTTACAATGGGTTTGCTGTCGCCTGCGGAATAGGAAGGAGGGGGGCCGGCAGGGGCGGATTCATCGCGGGGAGGTACGGCGGGCTCGGTGGGTTTCTCCCATTGGGACTTTTTGGTGTAGGTGTTGACGTAGAACCTGGTGAGGATGGTGTTAGTGATGATGCGCTTGATTGTTGGTCGATCGCTGTTGATGGTCGCCAGAGTGTTCAAACACACGAGGACGGGTGAGCAAGAGCAGACTTACCATTCTTTGTACTGTTCATTCCATCGTGCCACCCAGCCCTCAGGAACCTTGGGCGGGGGAGGACCGGGAGGAGGAGCAACGAAGTCGGCCATCGAACGGACTGTGCTGTGTGTTCTTGCTTGCAGGTAGGTTGATTATGTGATACAGAGGGAGGACTCTGAAAGTCGAGGAAAGAAGATGTAGAATAGGAGATCTGGTTCGTACGACTTGTTGGTTGATGTCGGGTGAGGCAAGAAAAAGGTGCGTGAATGACGAAGGAGGGGTACAAGAGGTAGTAGGTCGTGTAAGAGATGGGTTTCAAAGCGGGGGGGTTTGCTTTATATGTAGTGTACTGTAGAATAGGTCTCTCGTGGTAACTGACTTCCAGGTGGCAGAACTGCGCCGAGTCCAACAGATGCGAAATGCGAAAGGATTATTGTTGAATAGAAATTACGGAGAGGGCAGACTTGGTATTGTGAAGGTTGGTGTTTATCTATAAGACTAACCAATGCACCTGCGTAGGGGTCTAAGTTGTTGACTCGAGGCAGCTTGACGAGGGTGGCGTTGCGACTGAAAGTAGACCAACGTCCGGTATGATGTAAACTGCGGATACGATGCCAAGACTTGCGGTTTGCGAACGACTCGCCGGGGAACACCAGAGGAATACACCACTGAATAGTGTAGAGGCAGCAGCGGATTCCAAACCACTCAAGCGGACATCGATAGAAGCCACGGGAGAGCTCAGGAACATCCAATCCCTACCATAGTGTACAAATGCACAGCCCCGTCAATGCGGGGTTCAGATTGACAAGCGAGACAACCTAGATATCGTGATGATTCAGCAGCATGTATAATATTAGGTAGGAATGGGGAGTCGTTCAACTGCTCGAACCCCGAGTCCCCGTCAGCGGCTGTCCGGTGTTCCGGAATAGCCTCTAGTGTAGCAGCAGTATCTTGATGAATCAGCTACTGTAGGTGGCGAGCGTCAAGGTCGGAACTCTTTAAATTCCGACAACTCGCCTGAATCGCTGAATCGCAACATTTGTCACGCTTGCTTGTCGCCTCGCGTTGAGGCCGCCCATGGTCCAGGTTCAGACGATGCCGTGTCCTGCCATGTGATCAAATCGATAACCACAGGAGGCTGTGCTATCACCATTCTTTGTGGAGCCGCGCAGAACTCATCCCGGAGACACTCGCTCTACACTATATCTTGCTAAGTAGATTCTTCTTTTAGACTGGTAGCATAGGTATCTTCATATTGTCGCCATGTTTCAATCATTAACCCTAACCCAAAGCCAGCATCAACCCAACTCTTCGAACAACAGCCTACCTTGCGTCGGTTTACTGACACTTGTCTATAAAACCAAGATTGCCCCTTTGGTCACCATAACAATGCAGTTTAGGCCAGTTTCCTCTACTCCAATTATGCTCGGTAACGCAGAGGAAAGACCCAGCGAAATCGCAATACCTGTGCAGTCTCCGTAACCATTCCATGACTCTTCCTGTCTCATATCGTCTGCGCTTTAGACCAGTTGTGAAGTTCCGAAAAGTATCAAACCATACCATCCCATCGTAATGCGTAATCTTGTTTCGTTCCATCATCATTCAAATGCTATGTTTCCATTCCATGGGGTATGCCACTCGCCAGGTCTGGACGCCTAGTAAACCTCGCGGCGGTCCTCTTCATCTCTGCCCCTACCGTAAGATCCATTGAAAGAACCAAAGAGCTGCGCGGCCTCCATACAGTAACCGCCTGAAGCCATCCCCCTTTCGCTACCATAGCAGATGACAACGGCATCGACGATACCGCTCAGGATACCTTCCATTGCGCCCAAGATGCCCCATCCGATAAAGCTGGCAACCATACCCACAACATAGGCGTACGCGCTTCCCTTGAGTCCCAGGGTCCCATCAGGTCGTTCAACCGTCAGCTGTCGAGCCGTCATGACCCAACCTGCAAAGCCGAGTGCGGTAGCCATTATAAACCGCGTAGCATGCAAGATAAGCTTCGCTAGCCGATATGGCAGGAGTGGGGAGTTGTGAGTGTCGGATCGTAGAGCGACTGGCGTAAGCGTCGTAGTGGGCCGCTGAGGGGCAAGGAAGTCCATCCGGCTAAGGCCTCGAGAAGCAACCGCGAGGGACTCGGAATGGATGGCGGCATACGTGAGAGTCAACGGGTTCGTAAGAGCTGCGATCGGTGTAGGAACGAACGAGTAAACAATCATACTGAGAATGTTTGCAGCGCGAGAGGGTAATATGAGAAGGGGAAGGCGGATGGCTAGTGCTATTAGTGTCGACATGCTGATAGTGCCAAAAATGGTGCTGAGAGCGTGGCCCAGGGCGGCAGAGACGACGTCCTTGGATGATGCTGCTGGAACCGCATTGCGATGAAAATACCATTGCGATACCGTCGCCGCCGTCGTGGCTCGCTGGATGCCGGAGAGAATCGACAAGGTCCAGATGTACATCAGAACAAAGTAGATGCCTAGCCACCAGCTGGACGCACTGATGATAAAACGCGATAGGTAGCTGGAGAAACTCCCGCCCAGAAAGACTCTGGTAAACATGAGTAACCAGACCCAGGTCCAGAGCACTACCGTGGCCAGGCATCCTACACCAACCAACATCAAAGGCGAGTTTGCCGCAAGAATACGACTCGAGAACTCCAGGATATTGATGGCCGACCGGATCGCAAGACGGCCCTTGAAGACCATGTATATCCAGATCACGGCCGCAGCAGCTGGGACAGTGGAAGCCCACCTCATAACGGTATCCTGCGCTTGGGTACTTCCGCTCGTTGAGCGGAAACTCAAGATCAAGGGATACAGGGAGAAAGCGGTCATGATAATCGGCACGGACACCAAGATCAAGTAAACCAGTGGCCTAATGTACGCCCGCAAAGTCGCCAACCACACAAATGCGACAATCATTGAAACCAATGTGTCGACAGCTAGTAGGTTGAAAGACTTGGTTATGGTGTTGTAAATGGTGTCGCCGAGTGGCCGCTTCCCGCTTGTGTGAAGGTAAACCAGCACAAATGTCGCAAACAAGGAAGCCAAAGCAATCAAGAATATGTAAGCGAAGAAAGGATCGTGGACAAATATTTCCCCATCCGCAACCGGTTGTGCTGGTGTTAGCCCAGCATCTGGTGGCAATCCACCGTCGAACGACCTTCGCGACTCGTGCAATAGACCGGCCTCCGAATCCTGGACCGAACTTCTCCTGGTCGAATATCTCTGCGTTGCCGGCCGCGACTTGAACTTTTGGAAAGCCGGTGGTGAGCTGCCCATAGAAGCCTCACCCAACAGATCCTCTGGCGGGTCATCATCATCCTCGGCGATAGTTGACTGCAGTCCAACGTCTTCCATGGCCCCCTTAGTGCTGTCATCCTCATCCGAGCCTTGGCGTTTGTGCTTCCCAAATAACTTGCTCCCTCCTTGTCGGCGGTCGTGTTCACGCTTGGATAGACTTGTAGAGTCGTTCCAACTGCTTCTGATGCCGTGGAGGCGAGTTCCGAGTGCGTCTTGGTATCCCCGACTCCTCTCTAGCGAAGCACTCCCATCATCCTCGGCTTCGGTGCTATCTTCCAACCGGGCGGCAGGTATCACGCGACGGGAGCGTTGCAGTGCAAACAGATCTGCAGCCTCCCGGTCTCTCTCCTCCTCGTCCTCCTCCTCTTGCTCAACAGCGGCTTGAAAAAGAGGCGCATCCTGGGCGTATCGAGACCCAAATCCGGCAAGGGTACCAAAGCGAGAGCCAGTCGGTTGATAAGGGTTGCCTGTGGCGCCTCTATAGTAGGAGCGCCCACTCAGTCCTCGGCCTCTGCCGGTCCAGCCCCCTGGTTGGCGAGACGAAGGCCGGTCGTTGTTATCTTGCCCGGCAAAGCTGGACAACCGTGACTGTGACTGGGAGAGGAACTTTGACGCATCTGGTATCGCCTGTTAGTCAGTATGAAAAACGGTTGGACGCTGGGGGGTAAACATCAATTAATGAGAAGGGTCGGGGGGGTGGACATGGATATACGCACATTCTGAGAACATGGCGGTCTATCCCACGCCCCCAAAAGCTGTTTCGAGAAGGTTGTTGCAACTCCAGTGGGCTCGTCGGGAATGATGCCTCGTGGTGTTAGTCGGCGGTGTGGGACCACGGCGGACGATGCGTAGCTAATGACGGCAGACGAACGCAGACGGGATGCCAGCGGTGGTCGGAGCGATGTGGCCAAGTTGGAGATGTCGATGTAAGGATAATTCCAGCTTGTGTTTTCTCGAGAATTGGGAAAGGTGCCACTTGGTATGCGACGGCCTGGAGTCTGTTAGACAGGATGACTCTGTTCTGCTAACAAGACGCTTATACAGCCAGAGCCTGATGGATGGAGGGGGTTTCAGAGCGACGGAGGAGGTTTGGCACTTCAGGCTTCTGCCTCATGTAAAGAAAGGATGAACAAGGCGGCCCAAGGCAACGAGAATTAACTGGATAGTCCTAAGAACATGGGCGCCATGTGCATCAATCAGTGCATAGAGATATACGAGAGCGAACCAGAAAGAGGATGAAAAGGCCGAAAACAAAACAAGGGAATCTAGATGGCTGTTGATAAGATCCGGAGTCTTAGGTAGGTAGGGTACGGGTGTACAAGAAACAGGCAGACAAGGGATCGGGTGTCCACTGTGTAACAACTTAGGTTCAGTTAAGTGGGCTGGCGACTGACCGCCCACACTGCACGCGACAAACCTGGCTGGGAGCCTGAGGTCCAGTCCGCCTGCCGTGATCAACGGGCAAACCACCCGACACCAACAACCAACCCTCACATCTCTGACCTTTCAGTTACCACCTCCGATCCTCGCTACACCTATACTACACTACAATACACTACATGTAGGATAGGAACCTTGATGGGTAGAGGTACATCAAGACATATAGTGTAGAGGACGGGACAGACGGGCAGCTTGGACATTCGGTGGTGCCTGCCGGATGTTTGCTCCTTTAAGGTACACTAAGTAGAAACACGGCATTGGCTTCATCAAATCAATCATGCCGTGATTCAACTTCTCTTCGGCAGTCAGACTGTCAGAGTGCACAACAGCCACACCGGGAGATAACACAAAGTGCAAAAGGCTTTGCTTGTGCGAACAATTAACTCACCTGCCGGCCCCTTGTGAGGCATTCACCCTTTGTCTGCTAGACTTCCTTAACTCAAAAAGGATGATGCCCCATGACATCGTCTTCTGAACGGGAATGTGAAGACGTCTGTTATCGTTCACTTCTCGTTGCGTCACTGCCTGATATGTACCCGATGCCACCGCGAGCCCAGACCAGGTGATCCACTGTAAGCGGCCGTCTACCATTGGCTGGATCCTTCCTTAACAAGACTGGAGCTACAAGCTGTCTCCCCGTGAGTGAGGTGTCAGGGTGTCCGCCATTCAGCCTTCATCCAGTCATCAGTTGTTCACGCAACCAGGTTCCTGCAGCGACCTCTTTCACAAGTATCTATCGTTCTAGGCGTCCATCCTCCACCGCAATCCAACATCATCGAAATCAGCCGAAAGGCAAAACCCAGCTATATCGATTGTCAATTCGCGACGAGTCAACATCCATCATCTCTTCCGAGTCCAATCCTCATTGATACTCTGAACGACATCCAGCCACTGCAGCGAGCCAAAAGTCCAATCATCATCTCCTCTTGCGTTGCATTGTCGTCAGGAACGGTGTGAGAATCACATTCCCAACAAGAGCAAGATTCCTCAGTCCAGCCTCGGCGGCACTTGGCCATATATATCATCATCGATCAACCAAGCAGTCAAACCAGTCCCCCAAGAGACACCGTCCAAGCCGCCGACTCTTGAATATAACAGGGAACCAGATCCACTGCCTATCTCGGGATAGCTCTGCAGTCTATCACCTCGCCTGATCTCCTGACGAGTGAACCCCTTGCAAACTCCCGCTCGGTTACCCATAACCCAGTCCCCGCAACTCGAAACGATAAACACCAAGCAAGGCCCAGGCCATCCGTCATCGAGAAGCATTCAGGCTACCCCTGACCATATCTGGAGGTTTCTTCCTCCATTATTATTAACAACCTTGCCAACATCCATTCAACATTCCATCAACCGAATCGGCAAGAGGATATTGAACAATCAGAACCCACCATGTCGTCCTCACTACCCTGGGACTACATCGCGAAGCTAGTATGCATCGGCGACTCAGGCTGCGGTAAATCCTCGCTCACCATCCGCCTCTGCGAAGGCCGCTTCGTCACCCACCACGACGTGACCATCGGTGTCGAATTCGGCTCACGCATCGTCCCCGTCGGTCCTCCTCACAGCAACCTCGATTCCCAACAATCACCACAACAACAAGCATCCTCCACAACCACCTTCACCTCAGATCCCACAACAACAACAATACCAAACACTACAACCTCCTCCTCTGGGGGCCTCCCCCCACCCCCAATAGCCGCCAAGCCCTCCTCTTCTTCTTCTTCAGCATCCGACCCCCCTGTCCCGCAAAAACACATGAAACTCTCCCTCTGGGACACGGCCGGCCAAGAAACCTACAAATCCGTCACGCGCTCCTA